CTTTCTTTGAGCCTAGTAGGACTGAAAAGACAATGGAATAAAAGCCTGGATTTTCTAAGGAAGCCTGTGGATCTGTCCATGTTAGTTTAGTTTGCCCCTTTGTTTCTGAGGAAGTGCTACTTTCATACCTGAAAATGGGATTTGGTGACTCCTTTTGCATTTCACTCAATTTGGCATTTCTATTCTTGTTTGTTAAAAGCCAGGTATTTGTCAGGATTCCTAACAGCTTAAAAGTAGGACAGAATAAAAAAAATAATCAAGGTATAATGAAAATTATCATGAAAGCATTCTTGTAAAAGATGAAATTAATTTCATGGATTTCTGAATTTCATTCAGATGAAGTATTTATTTCTGGCTGCCTATGTTATTCAAAACTATTACAGAGTTTGAAAATTGGCAACATCACAGCATGTCTTTAGAGCAATCTTTTTCTGTTATTTCCGGGGTTGGAGTACTCTTGTTAGAGCAGCATGAGGATAACTGCTAACACCTCCAAAATAGGCCAGCAGTCATTATTGGTCATTTCAGCATCAGACTGGCTATTCAGTTGATTGTACAGACAAGCTTTTAAAAAGGCTGTCTCCGTTGCTTCTAATACTTAATTTTTGCAAAAGTACCTTGGGTACTTCACTATTGTTTTATTAATGGTCTATTTTCTCTCTTTCAGGCTGAAGATACTTCATCTGTGTGGCTTCTGCTTCAGACATGGTCTGGAGTCCATTAAAGAAATCAATAAAAATGTGAGTCTTTAATAACCTCACTGTCCCAACTGCTAACACTTCAGTCAAATGAAAAATTTTATATATCCTGAGAGACATTTTTAGCTTTTAAATGTACCACTGGTTTACAGAGAGCTATCATGCCACTTTGTATCTCAGTTTTTGATAAAGTTGAAGCATAAAATTGTGGGGTTTTTTTGCAATATTATGCAAGTTTCTTAATTTCTTTCCCTTGGACTAAGTTTTTTAAGGTACAGATTGTGCCTTTTCTACTTCAGAGGTTATAATGATGCAATGTACTTAAGAAGTACAATCTATGTTATGCCTGTTAATAAATACATTACCCTTAGTTTTTAACTGAGAGGAATGAGTCACATTCAGTAGTACTAAAAATTATACAGCAGGGATTAAGAGTATGTAGCAGTGGCCTATAATCTGCTCAAATTTGGCATTCAAGTATGTATGCTTCATATGAGGTGCATGCTTGAATACAGTTGGGTAAACAGCTGGAAATTACATCAAAGTCATAAAAAAGTCCAAATGGAGATGCAGCAGCAGAAAGGCAGAGAAGGGAAACGGGCAGGGGGGAGAGTCACTGCCACTGCCTGTTTGCTGGAGACCTCTCACAGGCTTTCACTGCACATCACCTTCTCACCATGCACTTCAGCTGCCTGTGCTTCTCTTCCTGATGGTAGGGAGAGAATGAGGAGGAGGTTCAACACACGTATGGGTGGAAAAGGGAAAGATGGAGCTCCAAACTGGAATTATGATGCTTTGAGATATACTGTGGGTTGCAGAGGTGGTAATGTTTGTGAGTGAAATGAGTGGCGAAATTGGAGTAGGCTTAGGCAATTAGTTTTCATGGTGCTGTGGCTAAGTATGATACCTGTGTGTAATACTGTTTCAATTAGATGCTTCTTATTAATCGATTCTATTTTACTTCTGCTGTGCTTTCTTAAGTTTGTGCTAAACTGCTTAAACAGTCCAAATGGAAAACAGACAAAGGTGAATAAGAAAGTTATAGAAACCATAAGGGGATCCATTCACTCTTTTAACCATCTATAATATTGGAAAGATTAGTTAATATATACAAGAACTATAGAAAAGAAATACTCTGTCTTCAGAGATAGTCAGAATAGTGTGATTGAAATATACATATGTTCTATTTCGTGATTTTGAAATGCTTGGTAGTCCAGGCAAAAATCTTCCTTTATTATACATGTGAGTTCCAAAAATAATATGTATGGAGGGATCAGAAGAGTGCTGCTATTTCAAGTGTGGGATCTTCCTGAAGCACAGTACTCCAGCTTTACTGGGCTTCTGCACAGTTCTACAAAATTACTTTCAGAGATCACATGTATTTAAACAGCATTTAAGAGTTCTGTAGCTTATCTCCCTGATCAGCTCACTCCTCTGCATTTTTGTTTGCTGAGGTGATGCTAGGTTTTGATGTCATGTGGTGTACCATGCCTCCTGTTCCTGGTTCCTCTGTCTCTTCTAATCTGCTCATTTAACCTCTGTGTAACATTGTCAAAGAGCACCTTCTCCAACTCAGAATAATAGGACACTTTGGTAGTGATGCAATGAATCTCTTCTTGTTCACATCTTTCTTAGGCAAACCTGAAATTCCTGAGCATGATTTCATGTTCTGTTCTTCAGCTGAAAAGATCCTCCAGCTAGCTAGTGTGTTTCATGGCACAGAGAAATAAACCAGATAGTACTGAAAATGGCACATGGGATATATTTGTATTTGTGGCTTTGGTTTCTTACTTATGAATTTAAAACTTCTCCTCCAGCATATCCACAACCATTAGTCCATGGAAAAAGGGCTTTGGTTTTGCATATTTATTTAATTTAGAGCTGGATTTGAAGGGACAGATCATTTTGAAATAGGCACATAATTTCAGAACAAAGCACTGTTTTACCATTGTCTGCTGGGAATCCTGCCCTCAGCACTCATTCAAATTATATTTTATTTGTTATCTCTGTGCTGTTGTTAGGACCGTTTCACTGAGCCATGGCCTGCCAAGCAAGCACTGATTGCGTGGCATTGTGTAACACTGCTTGCATCATCTGTTTTACAGGATATATGCCATGGCAGTGTTAAATGACACACTGCACTTCATGCCAGTGTCTGAGATTTGTGTGACTTCTGTAACAGTGGAAACAAGGGAGATGCCAAAGACAATGACAGCCACTGAATACACAAGGGATTACCTGCACATGAAGGCAGAAATCTGGCCCATGTAGGCATTGCATTGGCAATATTGCAAGATTTTTGTATGGCTTGCTTTAAACCAGAATGTTAATATGAAGATTTCAATTTGTTTTCAATGTTCCTTATTATTTGCTTGTATTACATAGGAAGAAATATAAAGCTTTCAAATGAAACAAAGATGCAGATCTTTGTAGTGGAAGGGTCAAATCGCAAGTCATAGAAAAGTAGGGTTATATAGAAAAGTTGGGGAAAAGATGATGTTCAATCTCAGAGGGGAAAAAATAAATAAATACAGAAGCTATGTATCCAAAGCCTATGCCCTCTACTTAGCAGTACATGGTAGTTAATACCACAAGAGATACAAAAGAGTGAATAAGTGAATGAGCAGGATAAGGATTACTGAAAACGTCAATTCATACACCTGCAGCCACAAAAGCAAACAAGAAGGTGAGTGCATTAATTTGAGCAGGAAGTCCCTGTCTGTCTAGTGAGACACATTCAGCTCTGGATAAGGCTGTTCCAGCTTAGCTCAGGAGTGTGTTTGCATTGAAAGCCGAATGTCCTGACTGGTGTGTGTAAGCAACATACGTTTGTCTCTTTGGATAGCTGAACAAACCTTCATCAGACTCACAAGGGCTCATGACACTCTTTGGGTACAAAAATTTAATGGCCAGATGAGCAATCATAGAACAGAAGGAACACTTTTGTTAAATTAATTCTTGCTTTACTAAAATATTAGATTTTGCTAGACTCAGAATCGAGATGATACCACTTTCCTACTCTTACTAGTCCTACAACTGAATAATGGAAATATAGTGGCAAATATGCATCAAATTACAAACTGAAGTCCTTCAGGTAGCTGACATTTTTTAGCTAAAATTTCTTTTCCAAATTACTTGACAGCTGTATTTCTCTGAATTTCAGGGAACATTTCACAACACATTGTACTGACTAGGGATAAATTGTTGGCAGGATTTTAGGCTGAGTCTGTCTAAGCCTGACAAAATAGTAATCAAAAACTATCAATATAATAATTTTCAATGACAGCATTCCCTACTTCTTAGGCAGAGGGGAACTTTAGATTTTTTATGTGATTTATTTTAATGGAAGGTCAGTTGGACTCTTTGTGCTTTCCTGGATCAGCTAGTTAGCCTTGGGCTATGTTTCTGTCAATAAGAAAACACTGTTTTGATGGCTGGATTTGTATTCTGTTTAACTCCATCACAACTTTGGTATACACAATTTACACTTGCGGATAGACACAAACAAGAGTGAGTGTGCGGGGAAGGAAGGGAATCTCAGTTCAAATTTAATTGCCGGCAATGAAATCTGAGTCTGGCTTCAAGAAAGTGAGAAGTCTTTCTGCCAAAAAAGACAGACGCTAGTTCTTCTACACAGAGCACGGAAAATCTGCTCCTTTGGTTTACTGATCTGAACGTAGCATTTGCATTTTCAGTTTAAGCTGGTATTTTAAGAGTGCACATTTCAAACTTACTGGTGATGGGATAGGAGTGAGCACGTACTCAGCAACGCATAACTCCAGGACTACTCATAGTCACCAAGACATAGGGAGACTTTGGGTTTTTGAAGAACTTCCTGGGTTCTTCATCGTCCATGAGCAGAAGTGCTTTTATTCTGCTGGCAAAAGACAATGAGATTTAACACCGTACAGTGACAGCACAGCACTAGGACTCCCCTTTGCTGCTGCGAGGAGGTGGGACGTGGTTTTAACCTATGGTGCTTGTGAACAGTACCTGCGCTTTTGGCAGTGCTGAGCAGAGCGGCGCGCAAGAGAACCAGCGCCCTTCCCGGCACCACCGGCGGGATAGCGGCGAGGAGGTCTGGCACCTGCAGGTCTTCGGCTTGGGGCCGCCCGGAGGCGCCCGCGGCCTTGCCCCGTACCTGCCGCAGCCACACTCCGCCACCTGCGGCCCGGCCTCCGCCTCCCGGCCACGCCCGGCCCCGCAGGGTACCGGGGCGGAGCAGGTACCGGCCCGCCCTGCTGCGCCGACGGCAGAGGGGTGCTGCCAGCTCGAGAGTCCGCTGTTTACCCTGTCCCGGTCCGCCTCGTCCCGCTCAGAGTATTCCCGGCTGATGGACCCCGAGGCGACGGGGGACGAGCTGTCCCGCCTGCGAGCCCTCTTCCTGGCCTGCGACGCCAGCGGCTCGGGTCGCATAGAACGGGAAGACTTCGCGGCTCTGTGCGCCGAGCTGCGGGTGCGGCCGGCCGAGGCCGAGGCCATCTTCCAGCGCCTCGACAGTGACCGCGACGGGGCCATCACCTTTCCCGAGTTCGCCCGCGGCTTCCGCGGCGCCACCCGCTGGCGGCCCGGCGGCGAAGAGCTGGAGGGCGAGGAGGAGGCGGCGTGCCCCGCCGTGGGGCTGGAGCAGCCCTGGAGGGACTTCGAGGTGCGGCTCGGGGAGGAGGCGAGGTACATCCCCAGGTAATGTCCGGTCACGTCCGAGGCGGCACAGGCACAGCCGCCCCGGTGGGCGTGGGGCCGGGACCCCAGGGTGCCAGGGCTGACCCTTCCCTGGGGGTCTGGCGGCAAGCTGCCTGTGCCGCCCTCCGGAGGGGGAGCGGTATGTCGGGCAGCAGCTTGCGCCGGTGTTGTTGCAATTGCCCAGCTGGGGGTCGGCCGTATCAGAGTTGAGGCTGACTTCCCACCCGCCGTGCTTGCAGGCGTACACTAGCCCTCCCCACGTCTGTACTTCGGCTTTGAGGGTTTCCAGCTCATTTATCAGCGTGCAGCCGCTTGCTTGCTTCCTCTCTGCTGCTCTACCAGCGCCCCACGTGGGAAAACCCAGCCGGTGGAGCGCTGGGGATATAAGGTGCTGCCAGCTCCGCAAACGAAACTTTCTTCCCCAGATGCCCCCTGACGGGCCCAGCATCTTTGTTGCACCCCTGTCTTCCGTCTCCTTTAAAAGGCAGACCAACACCACCCCTGTCTCCAAGTACGGCTCTCGGTCTGGGGAGCTCACTGAAGTCCGTGAGAGCCCTTGCCTTCAGTGTCAGTGAAATGAAGACAATTGACGGTAGTTAGGTTTGGGGTTAAACCAGGTTACCGGGGGCCTCTCTGTACCAAGCTGGTTCCAGTTTACAGAAGCACATTTTTGTGATTTGCAGTAATCTGTCTGAAACCTGAGGTGCTCAAAATTAATATACAAATGCCAGCCATAAAAAGTAGAGTGATTCTGCTTCATTTTAAAATTGTAATTTAAGATGGAAAACCAGCAATCTGAGTTCGAGGTCTTGGCAGCTGATTAAGGGGCAGTTAAAAATACTACATGGGTATATCTAAAGAGACTGTGTCAAACTGTAGTGGTAGTGGGTCCTGGTTGTGAGGTACAGGGAAGCTAACAAAAAGTGTGTTGATTTCTGTGTAACTTTTGTAGCAATCGAATTGGATGTGCAGATTTGGGTTTTTTTAAAGTTTTTTTTTTTTAATTTTTTGTGTGTGGTGCTTTTTTGTGGTTTTTTTGTTGTTTTTTTTCTTTCTTTTTTTTTTTCTTTTTTTTACAGGAACTTGTAACAAATCAGTGGCAAATTTTTATCATAGCAGTCTCCATAAAGTGCACCTTAAATTCTCATCTACCCCAATAATTTGTTTCTAGGGACTTTTAAAAATGTGTTTGGATTGTGAGATTAAACATTTATTCAGAAACTTTTTCAGATACTTAACCTGCTACTCATGATCACAGCCTGAGTGAACTGTTCTTTTTGGACTGGAAGAATAAATAACAACGGTTAGTCTTACAGACGGATCAGTAATTTCATATGGTCTTTACTTACCCAGTTCATGATGCTGTCTTTGCTCCGTAATTTGCTTTCTGCAGAAAGAAAACAATAAAAGAAAGGTCCACTTGAAAGTTTGCAGAAGCACTTTGTGACGTAACCTAAACCCAGACAGAATCTCAATAGATGGAAAAAATCTGACTCATGAACAGTGATGGCATGTGAAAACATCTCTCTCCTTTCGATTAGTAAGACTATCTCAGTATCTAGGTTACTATCTTTGCCACAACAGTTTCAATATAGTCCAGTTGTTTGTCTAAGAGGATGGTAGGAGGGAAGGGGAATAGCTTTTGTTGGCTTTACTGTGCTGACATGTCCTTAAGTTTTGTTAAATTCATCACAGAAATCATAGAATCATAGAATAATGTCATATGTGTTATGATTCTTATACATCAGAATTGCAAACATAACTAGATTTTGATAGTTAAATACATGTGTATCAGGCGGTAATTTGATGTAAATGCTTCCTATTCATGTTCAGCTTTGTAAATAGCTTTGAACATCCTTGGTAGTTGGCTGCATTTATTAGGTGTGTGTGTGTGTGTGTAAACATCAGCTGGAGAACAGTGTGCCCTTTGTTTCCCTGTTCCTTCTCCGTCCTGTCCTGAAGTAGTAGGAGCTGATCTGTGTTACGGCCCAACTTTTTTCCATTTGTGGCTTGCAACTTTTTTTGTTCAAACATATGTATAATTTTTTTTTTTTCATGTAAGTAGTCCCACTAAAATCACCAGGACCACTTAACGCAGGTCATGAAGGTACCGTAGTTGTTGGAGGAGTCTGGGCATACGATTCATTTTAAGCAACAGAAAGTAACAGAATCATGTAAAGTACAAAAGGGTACTTTGGAAGTTATTTATCTTGCATATTTATTGCGTTTATCTGTTTGTTGCTATTTTTTAGGGAGAGGCAGTACAGACCTTGCTTGGAACACACCTTTATGTTCAATACTATAAACCAGTTGGTGTCCTCACATTGTGGGCACACATACGTCTTCATATATTTGCTGTAATATTGACATTGAAAACCATGAGAAAAGTAATTAAAAAGAAGAAACTGCCCAAACTGTTGTCCATAATTTTTATCTTGTTCATGTGTGGTTTCAATCTCAATCATTTTAGGGTTCAGTCCCTCAAAATGCTGTGCCTTCTGGCCCTAGTCTAGCAAAACACTGGGATATGTGCTTTAGTGCTATTGTGGTTTATATAGAGAGAAACAAGGCACAGCAGATCGAAGTAGCGAGATAAAATCAGGTCTGAAGCCAGGAGAAAATGACGCAGTAAACATCTGTGGTCTTTACCATTCCTGAGCTTGACTGAGTGCCCATGGACATCAAGGGGAAATTTTTCACTGATACCAATACACATGGTTCAGCCTCTCTTTCTGCAACTGAGCTTTTAAAAGCTGTAAATAAGCTCCATAATGATGTGTCAAACCCAGTGACAGATCAATATCCTGACCCAGTACTTAGTGTAGTAGCAGACATTAGATGCAGCATTGCTTACTGCCAGGTATTGCCTTGTTCCAGGTACTAAAATCAATAAGCATAGTTTGAATTTAGCTAATTTTTAAAAAAAAAAGATAGTTTTATTATGGGATAGATCCTGCCTCTCTGTAGTTTGGTGTATCAGTTGTACAGTTCTGTTAGCTTATACTTTAAAACGTCCAGGTTTGTACTGGAGCTGTGGTTGTATCAGTTACAGTTAAATAGGAAGTGTAACATCAAAGAGAACCTTCTCAGCCTTGCTCCTTCCCTTCCCATATGAACAGATTTTTTGGGATTAAGTTCAGTTAAATTTCTTGGTAAAGTGGCTCACTGTGAGTCAAAGTATTGTCTTCCTCTTTACATATGCTTAGTGGGCAGTTGTGTTTGTAGCACAAAAAAAGTGGAAAGTCTAAAGTCTTACAGACTGATGACTTAATAAAATCTGTGAGGTCAGATTTTAGTGAATATATATCAGGTATAATGAGTAACTAAACACAGAAGTTTGCAGTGCCTTTGGTTTTTATGTAGTGAATTGACACATGGAGCATACCTTTGCGAGCCATAGGAGATCTGTTTTATTGAGAGTTTGGCATGTTAATTAGTTTGTCCTCTCATGAGTATTTGCAATGGTACAGAAGTAGACAAAAAAAGGTAAGAAATCTATCTGACGCACCAGGCAGCGAGTGGTCCAGTGTACTGTGTGCACTGGAAGGGTTTAGCCCTTCACCGTATTACTGGGCACTTGCATTCTTTTTTAATCAGTGGCCAACCTCACTGGCTTGATATTGAAAAGATTGAAAGGTTCCCTCCATGCTGCTAAAGGAATATGTTCTATATGTGTTCTAACTATAGGCATGTGTTCCTTTAAGCATGTGTGAAAGTCTCCTGCAGCAATGCTTTTCCATTCCTTGCCTGAGCAAAGAGTGATCCAGCATCCACTGGCACTTCAAGAGAAAACCTGCGCTTATGAATGCTACAACAGTTATTTGTGTAAATACCGGCCTGTAAATTACAGTCAAAAACTTTCCAGAAAATAGATTTTAAATTTTAATGTCAAAGACCTTAAATCGAAAAAAAACAAAGATTTGGGACTGTGTGTGCTGTGTGCATTTTCTCTCTGTACTCAAGGCTGCTCCTCGAATCCTGTGTTCAGTTCTGGGCCCCTCAGTACAAGAGAGACATTGAGGTGTTGGAGTGGGGCCAGAGGAGGACAAGGAAGCTGGTGAAGGGTCTGGAGCACAAGTGTAATGGAGGAGCAGCTGAGGGAACTGAGGTTGTTTAGTCTGGAGAAGGCTCAGGGGGCACCATATAACCCCCTACAACTACCTGAGAGGAGGTTGTAGTGAGGTGGTGGTTGGTCTCTTCTCCCAAGTATCAAGCAATAGAACAAGAGGTAATAGCCTCGAGCTGTGCCAGGGGAGGTTTAGATTGGATATTAGGAAAAATTTGACAGAGAGGGTGGTTAGACATTGGAGCATGCTGTACAGGCAGCAGTGGTCTTACTGTCCCTGGAAGTGTTCACAAACCATGTAGATGAGGCCCTTAGTGATACGGTTTAGTAGTGGGTTTGGCAGTCCTGGGGTAATGGTTGGACCTGATGATCTTAAAGGTCTTTTCCAACCTCGTTGATTCTATGATTCTTCTGTATTATGGGATCACTCTGGGATAAACTGAATCCCTTTAAGCCCTATCAGGTGAATTTTCTGTGATATTTGGCAAATTGGAGAGTCTGGAAAATTAACTAAATTAATATGAACATGAATGGGTGACTCAATCTGGATCAGTCAGCTGATCGGAGCTAGCCTAGCTAGAGCCACAGCCGGCACGCTTCAGCGACGCGAGGGTCAACGGAGATTAGGAAAATCAGAGGGGATAGCGCAGAGACATCGCGATTCCCGACATCTCCCGATCCCCGAAGCCCCAGCAGCCCTTGCGAGAGAGAGGCTGACGTGGAGGGGGGCGTTCCCACGGTGACGGCGACCACTCCCCTGCTGCTTCCCTTGAAAAAGCCTTTGAGAGGGCAGCGACCGGGCACAGGGAGGAACAAGCAGGTCGTGTTGCTGGTGTCCCAGACTGCGCACCAATATGGTTGCTTCCAGAAAGAGAGCTTGCAGTAAGGTGACTACAGCAACTCAGACAGAGACCCCGTCCCAGACCGTGGCTGT